GCCCAGGACAGTGGTGGTGTCATTGTCCCTGGGAGTGTTCAGAAACTGTGCAGATGTAGTGCCCAGGGTCTCCATAATCTCAGAGGTCTTTTCCAGTCTTCTCCTGTGATTCTATCACTCTCTAATTGAAAGCTGTACTGAGAAATGCAAACACAGGCAAATGTGTCCCACCCTACTCACCCTGCTGGGTTGCTTTGTTGCAGGTGATGTTTAGAAACAAATTACTCTTTCAGTGCATCCTAAAAAAGCCCTCAGAGAATTTTCCTTGGTTGGGTTTTTATTATTATTATCCAATCTCTGTTATCACTGCAATATTTCATGCTTCTGCACAAAAAAATAAAAAAGTCCTATTCAAGAACAAAGAAACCCACAGCTTTTCTTCATTTCAGTCTTTTGTGTCCAAAGGGCTGTCCTTAACTCAATAACTCAGTTTTTATTGTGTCACATTTCACTGTCCCTGACTGCAGCCAGCCTGGCTAATCCTTTTGCTGCTGCCTTATCAGTATTTCCCCCCAAAAAAAGACCTTGTCCTTTTTGTCCTTTTATTATTACCTTGACACCCACTCCTGAGTGCCTGGCTGGGTTTGAGAACTTAAAATTATTTTTTAATGCAGCTTTATTTTGGAAAAAGGAGCAGCTTCAAATTATTTTCTCACCTCATGTTTTTATACATGCTTTCCTAACCATGATAGATCATTTGGAAATGGAAAAAAAAAAAAAAGGAAAAAGAGTGAGATTTAGGTTCCTCCAGGATTTTGAAAACGAAGGTATTCAAAGACTTGCTGTTCACCTACTCCCAGCTGCAATATTAAAGGAAGATTTGTTGCATTTCTGGTTGCAGTAAAAATTTGCTTTGAATTGAGGTGTTTTAAAAGCAAACAAAAATCAAATACAGATCCCTTTAGCTATATATTTTAACTGTTGACTATTACATTGGTATATATTCTTCTTGCAGAAGATACTCAAGTATCTTGCTCTTGCAAGCTTTAATCTTGTGATACATTTTATAGTTCCTGTGCAAAAGACCAAACAAAGAGAGGAGAGATTCCCATGCTAAAATCCTTTCTGTAATTGAAACAGGAGCTCAAACATTGACTCACTGACTGGCAGGAATCTCTCTGGATTGGCACAGGCAGTGGCTGCATGGACTGGGGGGCTCTGCTCAAAGCTCCAGCAGTACAAGTGATTATCAACAGATATCTCTGATATCCTTCTCACCCTCATCAATTCAGCTGATTGTTTTCAATACATGGAGAGTGTGGTAACTAAAGATGCTCAGGCATTTTTCCCTGATTATTTTACTTGAGCCTCCCAGTGTTAATATAGAAGGGTCCTTTCTATCTATAAAGAACAACAGTGCCTTATTTCACAGACTGCAGGAACTCCTGCCCTGATACTGGATGTTCCAGGCAGCTCTCAAGGAAGTCATGAATACTTCTGCTTCCAAAATTCACCAGGGGAGCCACAGGCTTTGGCTGTTCTTGCAGCTACCTGCCAGATCTGTTCATCTCTGTCTACAGTTCCTGTGTTCTGCCCATGTCTCTTGGCCAGTAAATGCTTCCCAGGGACTATATTGCTTTCAAACCTTGGACCATCTGAAGAAGAAAAAGTGCTTTTTTTTCCCCATAAGAAACTGCAAAGTTGCATGTATTTAATGAATGTGGAACTGAGTGCTCTAGGCTGCTGCTTAGCTGGGGGAATAACATTTCTGCTGACTCCCTGAAGATTTCAAGCTGGTAAATTTTCACATTTATTTTCTTTTAATAAATTCTCTCCTTCATGTACCCAGGGGCAACTTTGGTGGCACCAATCATCAACATACACATTTTCTGTCTGTGTTACACTTCTTGAACCTATTTATTCCATTATAGTTTAAATTCTTCTTGCTCTTATCAGCTGACCTTTACATACAGCTTTGCCTGCCTCCTTTAGCAAACTCTATTATCCTTGCTTTATTTGAAGCACTCAACAAGGTTATTTTTAATTGTTGCTATCCAACCTTTGTTCTGGAGAAACAAAATTTGTTTTTCAAAATAAATGATATCTGCAGCCTTTCCCAGATATTGGCCCTCTTATCAGACTATGTAATGATGCCAATTCTGCTTCATCAACTCTTTAAAGATTCACAGTAAGTCCAGTCCAGTTTATAAGAGACAAAGGCAAGAGTGAAATGTATGATCTCATTCCTCTGGGTGCAATTCTTTCAGCAAATGTAAAGAGTGAGCTGTTGATATGGAAAGGTTAATGCTGTACCCTCTTTTTTATCAATTGTCTGTTTTCTATCAAATCTATGTCTTATCTTGTGTCTACTTTATCAGATCTGCTTAAGTAAGGTACACATTTGAAGCCTCTTCTAAATTTAATTTCTCCTTCATGAAAGTCCTGCAACTATTAAAAAAAGAGAAATCCTTTTACAAAGTCTATTTTAGACAAGGGACACAGGCCAAGTCCAGGTATAAACCACTTGCCAACTATGCCCTTGATCTCAAAATACTCCTCTCATCTTCAAATTGATCAGTAACCTAAAATAGAGCATTTTAAGATAATGCACCCATTCCTAATTTCTTTTATTCAGTTAAAGGAAATACATTGGTACAAATTTCCCTTAAAATTGGCTGTTGGCCTTTCCTGACAGTAAACTTCATGAAATAAAATAACTGATTTCTGTTCTGTTTGAGTGGCTTTAGCCACTCAAAGATCTTGATTGTGAAGGGAGAGCTGCTGGTAGCAATCAAGAGCATAAAAAAAAACTTTTTGGGGTGTTCTTGGCACAAACTGCAGTGTGGCAGAAAGCCACTGTTGTACAGCTTTTGTTCAGAACTTTCTGGATGCTGCTCAGTGAACTCCCATGTGTTTCCAGTGGTTTTGGGTTCCTTCCTTTCATTTTGGTTTCCATCTATTCTCTAGAGGTGAGGAAAACCACCAACCCCCCTAGCTGCCCAAATACTTGCTCTGCTGAATCTTAAATTCTCATGTTCTACTTGTGTATTTTTTTCTGCTTGCTTGATGCCTCACCAGCTCCTGTGAAATTTGGAAACTGAAGGGAAGTTTCATTGTGAAATTAAAACTGATAATTATGAAATTAAGAATAGACCAGCAGATCTGTTAGGAAGCCTGAGCAGAGTGTAGGTAGAGATCTTGTGTTTATCAAACATATTGCTGAAGATTTACCTCACAGGCTGGTTTTTACCTTTATCATTTCCAGACAACTCTAATTCTAACAGCGTTTTTCTTAATTCTATTTCCCCCTCCTCCTCCCAGTCCCCAAACTGCTGTGTGTCCTTCTGTCTTTGGCTCCAGTTATCTTGTATAGCAATTTGATCTTCCAAATGCATCATTTCTTTATCACTAAAAGCAAGGATTTTGAGTTATACCTCATGGCCTTAGCCTGGAGGCCAGTTCCTTGTTGCCAGCATTGGTGTATGGTTGACTTTTTCAGCTTCATGTTGTATTTCATGTACTTAGTGTTAAAAACCTTCCTCCAGCCCTGCTTTTAGCATTCTCCTGCAGTGTAACTGTGGTTGAGATTAAAAATATGCCCAATATTCCCCTTGCATCAGTAAAGAATGTTTTGACAAGGATTTTCTAATGCTGGAAAAGTGTTTTTGAAATGCTGTAACTTCTCCTTAAACCTCTGTGTCCCTCTCAGGCTCTGATTACAGGGCTCTAACTGTTTTATATTAACTGTTAAAAGACACTCTTAGAGACTCTTAGAGAAATCCTCTCTTTCTGTGCAAAAATCCAAGATGGTAGTTTGCTTTAAAACAAAGGGGTATGTGCTTTGATAAGCATAAGCTTTATAATAATGAAATGAAGAAGCAAACTTAGTGTAATTCATTGTCCCATTCATTCACGGATTGAAAGGAAAATTAACCATTTTGGTAAAAACAAAAGCTAATGCCTTCTTCTCACTTGGGGTTCTGTAAGCTTTAAATATTCAACAGCTTTAAGCATAATGTGCCTTTTTCATGTTAGACTCTTCTTCCTTCCAACCCTTGGAGCAGTTTTCATGCCTGTGCCAGCTTTCAAAACTGACAACTCCTGCCCTGCTCAAAGGTCTCAAAGGATTCCAGTGAAAAATTTACTTTAATGTTTGATCTCCATCACTCCTTGACAGAAAAAGTGAACTTTCAGCCATTACCAAAACTGCAGAAGATAGCCTAAAATTTAATACACATAATAGGAATGAGAGAACCTTGGTATTTGCCCTGGCTTGGAAAAAACAGGTTCTGCCTTTCAGTGACATAAAGCTACTTTTTTAATGACTATAATTTTGTTACTGCTCTGTCTGGGAAAATTGCACCACTCTGACTTGATAGTTAGAACTGTAGCTAAGCCAAAGGAGATGAGCGTAAGAGTTTTGTGGAATGAATACCTTTGAAATTACATGCTTAGTATAGCAGTGAGGAATTTCTAAGAGCTGGAATCACCTGGAAGACCATCTCTGAAAGTGCAGTCTTTGTTCACTAACTTCTTTTTGAGCTTCAAGATCTCTTGGGGCTTTTGTTTCCACTTTGGTTTTGGGTTGGGTTTTTTTCCTAACTGAGGTATCAGGCATGAAATTTGTGCAACTTATCTGGAAAACAGACAAAATTGGTACCAACATGTTACATGACTTGTGAGGGTTCCTCAGGGTGAGAGAGACAGACGAGAATCTTGTTTCATGATCAGAAGGCTGGATTTATTAATTTATGATATATAATACATTATGACTATACTAATAGGAATAGAGGGAAAAGTTCAGAAGCTGCTAAGCTAAGAATAGAATAGGAATCTCAAACAAGAGAGCTCTCTGTGAATCAGTCTCCCAGAGAGCTTTGTCCTGTGATTGGCCCTTAATTGTAAACATCGAACATGGGCCAATCACAGGTGCACCTGCTACATTCCACAGCAGCCGATAACAATTGTTTACATTTTTCTTCTGGGGCCTCAGCTTCCCAGAAGAGGAAAACTCCTCAAAGAAAGGATTTTTATGAAAGAATGTCTGTGACACCAACACAAAAAAGTGTAGAAAAGATTTATTGTAAACAAAAGAATTTTGTGCAAACAGTGAGGAAAAAGGCTTCTGGCGTTTTAAAAATGCCACTACTTTGTAAAACCCTCCAAATCTACTCAGTCCACAAACAGTCCACTCAGGCCAGTTATGCAATTGGCTTTGATTTTCCTTGCAGACAGGAGCTCCATCCTCTGAGGTTTAATGTTGGCTCTCGAGCGAGAGCTATTTTTTTGATACCTCTGAGGCAAGAAGGCAAAGAATGACCCAACAGAATGGAAACAGAACTGCGTGGGTGCACTGGGCCGGGCTTTGGTATCCCCTGAGGCTCTGGGGGCCCTACCGGCCCCGGGAGCTCCTCGGGGCGTGATCTCCGGCCCTACCGGCCCCGGGAACTGCTCCGGGTGGGATCTCCGGCCCTACCGGCCCCGGGAGCTGCTCGGGGTGCGAGCTCCGGCCCTACCGGCCCCGGGAGCTGCTCGGGGCGTGATCTCCGGCCCTACCGGCCCCGGGAACTGCTCCGGGTGGGATCTCCGGCCCTACCGGCCCCGGGAGCTGCTCGGGGTGCGATCTCCGGCCCTACCAGCCCTGGGAGCCGCCCAGGCTGCTCAGGCCGGGCGCGGGGCGCTGCTCCTCCAGGCGGTGGAACTCGGTGAGGCGGAAGCGGGTGGCCAGAGTGCTCACCATCCTCCTGAGGGCGAAAAACGCCGCCACCACTTGGAAGGAGAGGAAGGCGGCGAAGATGATGTGGACGGCTCGCTCCAGAGAGTGGATTTTCAGCCCTTCATTAAATAGCAAGAAGAGAATTATAGGCAACTGCGGGAGGAGAGTCAGGAGCCAAAACCCAGCCAGCTCAGGGACCTACAACAGGGAGACACCACCTATTAAAAACCTGACAACTGGGTTGAAAAAATCCAAAATCTTGTGAACACAACACATTTCTTTTTAATTTTCCAAAAGTCAGCATATAATGTGGAAAGGCAAAGTGGGATGGCTTCATATTTCCATATCCTGTGTTTTTAAGCATACTTGTATTTTCTGACAAAATAATTTTAGGGAGTGAGAGAGCTCTCTTCTGAGGGAAAACTACTTGAAATTCACAAAATTAAGTGGAAGCCAATGCCAAGGGAATAGAAGATGCACAGTGCAACTGAAGGGAAATAACCATGTCTTCAACTTAAATCTCTCAAATAAAATACCTGCCACTTAATGCTCAACTCCCAAAAGCAGAAATTCTTGCAGAAATTACTGTGTCCATCTGGTAACTTACTTTCTCCAGGAGATTGCCCACATATCCCAGGTAGAGTCGAATGAGCTCTGTCAGAGAGACCAGGATCATGATGGTGACCAGGATGAACTTGTAATAATCTGATAAGGCTGGATACTGGAAGAGGGGAAGAAGAAAGTAAAAGTTTCTGCCATGGTGTCTGATTAAATGAAAATACTCTGTGCTTCTCTCAGTCAACAGTATTGGCATTCAAACACTCCTGAACCTCCAGTTTCCATGAATTCCCAAAACAATGTAAAGACCTCTAACTGCAGTGAGCTGCATCCCACATTAGGATGTGTTTGATCTAACATGCATTTACAAACCAACACTTTCCTTCCTTCTCACCTTCATGTAGAGGATGGCAACTGTGATGAGCCACCAGAACGGGAAGAAATAAACATTGAAATAGAGGGACATCTGCAGTGGCAAACTGGAAAGGATTTCACAATCTGTACAGAGAAAAAGAAGATTTTATCACTCCAGCTGTAAGTATGACAGAAGGATACTGCTGGATCTTAGCTTCATGCAGGGCAGTAATTTGACTCTTCGCTGTCAAAAAAATGTTAAGAAAAATATTTTTGTTTATCCAGAGGAAATCTTCACTCCCTATCTACAGTTACAAAATTTCCTGGAATCCAAGGAACCTTTTGGCCCCTGGGACACAGCATTTTATAATTTAGTTGTACATTCAAGCTGAGTGTCCAATTGTTGATTACCTGGTGGCTTTTACCTTACTCCATCATCTCTGAATAAGGCTTAGCTCAAGAGAGCTGCTAGAGAGCAGGCTTGCATGGCCCACTCTTCATTTTCAACCTTTCGTTTAAACAGACACTTGGAAGGTAATTGTCTGATTCCTAAGAGATAACAGTTTCAAATATGTGTCAAAATAAAGCTCATCCTTTCAAGCCGGTACAGGACAAGCTGCATCACATAACTCAATGTAGAGAAAGGCAAGTCTCCAACTCCAACATGTGGGCAGTAAATTCTGTACTTATGACTTTATAACAGACGTACAAGGTCAGACTTAAGGAAAAAAATTACTTAAAAACAAGCCAAGAGTTCAAATTTCAATTGTCATCACAATGTTTCGGTATGTTAAAGGTTTCCTTGACATGGCATTGCTATTTATAAATTCTGTGCAAGTTCTAAAACTGTGTTTGGATGAATGTTTAAGCAACATAAGCCAATTCTAATTAATTTTTCTATCCCTAAATTAAATTAATGCTTATTTGCTGGGATTGCTAAAATTAATGCAAAAGCCAGACAGTATTGCAATGGCTGTTGCTACAGCAACTCCCCGAGATATGTATGTGGAACGGAATTTCTGAAATCCCGATGTCCAATAATTTAAAATTGGATATTAACACAGGAGTATTCTATACACAGCAAGCCAAAGAAAAAAGACTAGAGATAGAAGCTACTGGTGAAGTGTCTGATAAATGAAATGAACTCGTAAGCGTTAGCAGTGTTACTACACGAAGGAAGCGGGAACTCCTCTTGAAACAAGAACGCCTCGTTGATTAATTCGATCGGCTTAGAATGGATTTATGGGCTGAAATCACGGCAGCCTCTCTGCGCAGGCAGCACTGTGAGCACTGCCATGGCTACTCTCGCGCTAGAGGTTTGAACAGGGCGCGGGTTGTGCCACGGCTCTCCCCGCCAGGCC